ATGAGAAATGGATTTTATTTTCTTTTTCAATCTATTTCTTTCCTAAAATTTAGAAAGTATTGAAATATAAGCCAATTTTTCAGTATGAGAGTCACCAAGAAATTGGATAGTTCTGAGAATTATTATTATAGTTCTTAGAACTGTTATAATTACAGTTCTATAGAACTATTATTATATGTGAAGAAATGCATACAGAAATGGTTGGAAAGAAAAGAATAAAATCAGATATATTTTAAGACATTAATAGCACTAAAGGCACTGAGTTAAAAGGGTGCTCAACTTTTGGAACATATTATAGTTAAAAATTGAATAATACTAAACAATAAATATTTTGAATAACATAATCTCTTGTCAATAATATGGTATTTATATGTTGAACACATACTCTGTGTTAAATCAAATAAGGTATATATGGCAGGTAAAGGAAGGATTTAATCTTCACAGGATACATGTTCAAAATTGGGAACATTATGTGTCCCAGGAGATGGTGGTAAGTCCTTGATTTTCAATGGCCTGCTAAAGGGGACAACTAGTGGAGTATACATGATCAAGGGGTCGTATGATAGACAATCAGCAAGTGTAGTGAGTGTTTTTGTGGGTCAGTGCTACTTATAATAGGTTTTCTAAACTAAACTGAAACCTCCTAGGAATCAAACCATCACCCCTGTACTAGAAAGGTTGTTGATACCATGTTAACGAACTGAGAATATATAAACCTACGCCATTGGTCTTCAGCAGCATGAGTTGTCACTTCATGGTATGTAATCTGCCCAGATTAAGAAGTACAAAGCAGATAATCTGCACCATCTGATTAACAAGGCAATTTGACCTGGTTATCAAAAGGGGTCAAGAATATCTTCAGAATTTTCAAACTCATGGTAACTAATTATTTTGATTCAATATATTTGAGCAAACAGCTTCTTTCATTGTTATAACATTTCCTTTTCTTAGAATTATTCTAAAAATATATCTCTTGAATCTTTAGAATTAATGTATGGCATGAACTTTGTATACCTTTAGAATACATTTTTAAAAATGGGAATGGGTATATCACACTGAAAAGGTTACAATGTTTTGCAGATCTGTGAAGCCGGAAATCATTTCATCAATGTAATGTTGTCTCATCCCTATCACACAGGTTAGTTTCTTGTTACTTTTCATCTTTTCTAGAGTGGATTATGTTAATAATTATTTTGAAAAGTCTTACATCATAAATTTTTTAAAAAAGGAAAATAGTAATAGTTGGAAACTCTTAATAGTGTATGCCACCCTTTTTGCCCCTTTATGTCTAAGTTTTCCAAATATTTGCATTAAATCAAATTCCCTAATAATATTTTTTTCTAAAATGAAGTATGTACTCACGCAATCCACCCCCCCACCACCATACACTAAACAATAATCTTGCTTAAATATGTGGAAAAACAGGGCTGGGTGTGGTGACTCATGCCTATCCCAGCATTTTGGGAGGCCAAAAGAGGAGGATTGCTTTAGGCCAGGTGTTTAAGACAAACCTGGGCAACATAGTTAGACTCTGTCTCTACAAAGAAAAAGAAAAAGTTTATCCAGGCATGGTGGCACCTGCCTGTAGTCCTAGCTACTTGGGAGGCAGAGGCGAGAGGATCACTTGAGCCCAGGAGTGTGAGGTTAAAATGAACTATGATTGCTCCACTGCACTCAGCCTGGGTGATAGATCAAGACCCTGTTTCTACTAAAAAACAAACAAACAAAGAAACAAACAAAACCCTAAACCTAAATATTAAGAAGTACCATTCGATCCAGCAATCCCATTACTGGGCATCTACCCAAAAGACCAAATAATACTGTATAAGAAAGACACCTGCACCCGAATGTTTATAGCAGCACAATTCACAATTGCAAAGATGTG